AAAAACGGGGGAGGGAAATGGGGAAAAAACAGGGGGAAAACATGGAAAAAACAGGGGAAAACGGGGGGAAAATAGGGAAAAACGGGGTGGGAAAACAGGGAAAAAAACGGGGGGAAAACCAGGAAAAACTGGGAAAAATGGGGGGCGGAAACTGGGAAAAACGGGGGGGGTGGAACAGGGGAAAAAAAGGGGGGAGGATGGGAAAAATCTGGGGAAAAAAGGAGAAAAACTGGGAAAATGGGTGAAAAGCGAGAGAGGCGGGGGGGAGAAATGGGGAAAATCGGGATTTTCTCCCAAAAATCCGCCTGGTCCAGAGGGCGGATCCAGCCCGGGCCTTTCCCAGTTCCGCGCTGGATCCGCCTCCTCCCCCAGGGAATTTCCAGGCTGGGCCAAAGAGCGAAATCCCGGGAAAAATGCGGCGGGACGGGTCCGGCTGAGCCCTTCCCTCATCCCGAAAAAAAACGGGATTGCTCCTGGCACACTTGGAATGGGCACAGGAGGCCTCTCCCTGTTCCCAAAAAACCTGGAATGGGCACAGGAGGCTCCTCCAGCCCTTCCCTCGTCCAAAAAAAAACCCGGGATTGCTCCTGGAACACTTGGAATGGGCACAGGGGGCTCTTCCCTGCATTGCTCCTGGAACACTTGGAATGGGCACAGGGGGCTCTTCCCTGCTCCCCAAAATCCTGGAATTGTTCCTGGAATGGGCACGGGGGGCCTTTCCCTGCTCCCAAAAAACCTGGAATGGGCACAGGAGGCCTTTCCCTGCTCCCAAAATCCTGGAATTGCTCCTGGAATCAGCCCAAGAGGTTCCTTCTCCCTTTCCCTGCTCCCAAAAATTCTGGAATGGGCACAGGAGGCCCTTCCCTGCTCCCAAAATCCTGGAATTCCTCCTGGAATGGGCACAGGGGGCCTTTCCCTGCTCCCAAAATCCTGGAATTCCACCTGGGATGGGCCCAGGAGGCTCCTGCGGCCGTTCCCAGCTCCCGGGAAAAGCGGGATGGGGGCCGGGATGGGGGTGGATCCCGATCCTTTCCCGACCCTTTCCCGATCCCGCAGCCCACGGAGACGGAGCGCTGCATCGAGTCGCTGCTGGCCGTGTTCCAGCGCTACGCCGGCCGCGAGGGCAGCCCCGGATCCCTCTCCAAGCAGGAATTCCGAGCCTTCATGGACATCGAGCTGGCCGCCTTCACCAAGGTGCCCGGGGGGCGGGAGCCGCGGGATCGGGATCCTCGGGATCGGGGTGGGATCCACGGGATCAGGATGGGATCCACGGGATCGGGATGGGATCAATGGGATCAGGGTGGGATCAGCGGGATCGGGATGGGACCATCGGGATCCTCGAGATCAGGATGGGATCAATGGGATTGGGATGGGATCCTCGGGGTTGGGACGGGATCAATGGGATCAGGGTGGGATCAGCGGGATTGGGATGGGATCATCGGGATCCTTGGGATCGGGGTGGGATCCACGGGATCAGGATGGGATCCACGGGATCGGGATGGGATCAATGGGATTGGGATGGGATCCTCGGGGTTGGGATGGGATCAATGGGATCCATGTGATCCATGGGGATGGGATTGGGATGAGATCCCTGGGGTCAGGATGGGATCCTCGGGATCAGGATGGCATCCATGGGATCACTGGGATCACTGGGGTCGGGATGGGATCCATGAGATTGGGATGGGATCCATGGGATCCGTGGGGTTGGGATGGGATCTATGGGATGATGGAATGGGATGGGATCGATGGGATGGGATCCTTGGGATTGGGATGGGATCCACGGGATCATGGAATGGCACCAATGGGATGGGATTGGTGGGATTGGGATGGGATGGGGATCAATGGGATTCATGGAATGGGATGGGATCGATGGGATCAATGGGATGGGGATGGGGATCAATGGGATTCATGGAATGGGATGGGAATCAATGGGATTCATGGAATGGGATCAATGGGATTCATGGAATGGGATAGGGATCAATGGGATTCATGGAATGGGGTCAATGGGATTCATGGAATGGGATGGGGATCAATGGGATTCATGGAATGGGATGAGATCGATGGGATCAATGGGATGGGGATGGGATAGGATCAATGGGATCCACGGGAAGGTTTGGGATGATCCAGGGTGTCCCGAATTTGGATCAGGATGGGATCATGGGAACATCACCCACCGGGGAGATCCAAGGATTTTTCCATCCCAAACCCTCCCAGCATTCCCTGAGCTGCCCGGACAGGGAATTCCCCCTCATTCCAAGCAGCAATTCCCGGGTTTTTTCCCCCCCCTCAGAACCAGAAGGACCCGGGCGTGGTGGACAGGATGATGAAGAAGCTGGACATGAACAGCGACGGGCAGTTGGATTTCCAGGAATTCCTGAACCTCATCGGGGGCATCGCCGTGGCCTGCCACGATTCCCTGCTCCTCAAACCCCAAAATCCCTAAATCCGGAGCCTCCGGAGCCGTCCCCGGAATGCTGGAATCCATGGAATGGCCCCGTTCCCCTTTTTTTAATTTTTTTGGGAAAGGGAAAAAGCATAAGTGATTTTTTTTTTTGGATAAATAAAAGGTTTAATGCCCTGGGATTTGTCGGGAAAACGGCGCCGATCCCGAGGGATTCTGGGATCATCCGCTCCAAATTCCAGGAATTCCCTGCAGGGATGGGGATCCAACCCTCCCTGAGTCCCTTCAAGTAGTTCCCAAACCCTTTATTTCCATGGAAAAGTCATCCCAAATTACCCAATTATTCCCAAATTTCCCACCCTGGCCCAGCTCGAGGCCGTTCCCTGGGATCAGATCCCAAATCCCCGCTGGAAAAACCCGGAATTCCCCCTGGATCCTCCTTTTTTCTGGGATGAGCTCCCTCCATTCCCTTTTCCCGCTGCTCCCTGGGCACTTCCAGCCCCTCATTCCATACCTTGGACATTCCCAGCTGGACAATCCCTGGAATTGCATCCCTGCATCCTCCCCGCTGTGGATTCCCATCGCTCCAGGCACCGGAATCCACCCAAAATTCGGGAATCCCGGGGCCTTTTCCGTGCCCTGGGGCCAAACCGGGAATCCCGAAGGACAAAACTCCACCAGGAAACGCTGGACGAGCCCTCGGGGTTAATTGGGACGCTAATTACACCCCACTAATTAACACGCCCAGCTCCAAACCATTCCCATCCTCCGGAGCATTCCCAGAGCTGGGAACGGGGATAAAATTCCAATTTTTTTTTTGGTACGCCCCGATCTCCAAAGCAGGAAAATCCAGGTGATTAACAAACTTTTATTAACGAGGGGAGCTCGTTAAGCGGCCACAACGATGACGCAAGGAGTCGTCGGACACGGAGCCGCTTCCAGAGGGAGCAGGGTTTCCCTGGATTCGGGATTTACGGAGCCAATCCTGGCTTTTCCGAGTTTTTCGGGGTTTTTTGGGGAGCAGAGGTGGTTGTGTCACAACCAGGGTTTGGGAAAAGCCGCCCGTGGTGCCCCTCTGGAAAAAATCCGGGATAAAAGCGCAGGAAAAAGCGGTCTGGGAAGAAGGAGAAGAAAAATTCCTGCTGAAAGTGGGGAAAAACCGGGAAGGGAGGATGGGAATGGCCAAAGGGGAGGAGTGAAATGCTGGAATGAGGAGTGGGAATTTCCTTATCCAGGAGAATTCCTAGCGGAACTGGAGGGGGCTGATGCGCAGCCCCAGCACGTCCTTCCCGATCTCCGTCACCTGCAGGGACAAAGAGAGGATTCAGGGCTGAAAATTTGGGATTCAGGGGTGAAAATTTAAGATTCAGGGGTGAAAATTTGGGAATTAGGGGTGGAAACTCAAGATTTAGGGGTTGGGTTTGTGGCTGTTGCTCCCGGGCTTGTGCTGGGAGCACTGGGAAAGGTCTGGGAGCACCCTCAGACCACTCTGGTGGGATTTGGGTGTGAATTTGAGGGGTTTGGGTGGAAATTGGAGGGATTTGGATGGAAATCTGAGAGATTAGAGGGGATACTTGAGATATTTCCACAGATATTTGACTTATTTCCACGGATATCTGAGATATTTCCATGGAAATAAGATCCCCCCTCAGCCTCCCCCAAACCGAGCAGGCCCAACTCCCACAGGCCTCCCTTGTGGGAAAAACAGAGGAGAGATTTTTGGGGATATTGGAGATATTTCCACAGATATTTGACTTATTTCCCTGGATATTTAACTTATTTCCATGAATATTTGACTTATTTCCACAGATATCTGAGATATTTCCATGGAAATCAGATCCCCCCTCAGCCTCCCCTCAAACCGAGCAGGCCCGACTCCCACCGGCCTTGCAGAAATTCGCAGATTTGACCCCAAATCCCTTCCAGGAACCCCAAAATGTCCCCGCTAAGGCCATCCCTGAACCCTGGAACACCTCCAAAGGCCCGTGGGGAGAGGCAGGGCGCGAGCCTCACCGTGGTGACGCGGCAGATCTGCCCGCGGAACTCGGGGCTGTAGCAGGCGCCGCTGAGGGGACATTTCTCCAGGGCCTTGCCGCGGTAGATGGGGCGGTAGGAGGCGGCGCAGATGTCGAAGGGGTTGTGCTGGTCGTAGTTGAGCTGGTGGCTGTCGCTGGGGTTCTTCTCGCACGCCGCCAGGATCTTCCGTGTCTGGAGAAGCGGAGAACCCAGAGTGGGGAGGCGGCGGGGACGTTTGGGGAGGGGGACGCCTCAGAAATGGGTCAGAGCAGGGGTGTGGGGAAATGGGGTCAGAATGGGGGTTTGGGGACAGGGACACCTCCAGAAGGGGTCACAGAGAGGGTTTGGGGAGAGGGATATCACAAAAAAGGGTCACAGAAGGGGTTTCAGGACAGGAACACCCCAATAAAGCTGCTTCACAACTTGAAGGCCTCATCTGAGGACCTCACCTTGGCTTTGAGGAACTTTGGGGACATCTGGGGACATTTGGGGACAGGGCCACGGCGGTCTCACCTGCTGGGCCACCTCGGGCTTGGGGCCGAGCTCGAGCAGGCGCCGGGCGAAGGTGGCGGCGCTTTTGAAGTTGCGGAGTTTGAAGAAGAGGTTGAGGGCGGTGCGGAGCACCAGGATCATGTGCACGGGCTGCAGCTGGGAGTGTGTGAAATAGGCGGCCATCTGCCAGGGAAAAGCGGGATGAAACCCTCGGGAATAATGGGAATTACAGGCAGTGCCTCCCCTCCAGGCCGGAGCTGGCGTTGAAGGCGGAATTCCGTGTTTTCGATGAGTTTTTTGTGCAGGATTCCTGCACTTCTCCCCTCAGAAATCCCGCATTTCTGCCCTCAGAATTTCCTTCGGTTTTCCCCTCAGAAATTCTCACCTTTTCCCCTCAGGAATTCTCACCTTTTCCCCTTAGGAATTCTCACCTTTAACCCTCAGGAATTCCCACATTTCCTACTTCAGGAATCCTGTATTTCTCCCCTCGTGAATTCTGTATTTTCGATGAGTTTTTTGTGCAGGATTCGTGCACTTCTCCCCTCAGAAATCCCACATTTCTGCCCTCAGAATTTCCTTCGTTTTTCCCTTCAGGAATTCTCACCTTTTTCCCTCAGGAATTCCCACCTTTAGCCCTCAGGAATTCCCACATTTCCTGCTTCAGGAATCCTGTGTTTTTCCCCTCACAAATTCCCACATTTCCCTTCAGAAATTCTCACCTTTTCCCCTCAGGAATTCCTACATCCACCTTCCCTCAGAAATCCTGTATTTCTTCCTTCAGATATCCCATATTTTCCCCTTCGGGAATTCCATATTTCCTACCTCAGGAATCTCACATTTCCCCCCTCAGGAATTCAATGTTTTCCCCTCAGGAATTCCATCTTTTCCCCTTTGGAATTCCCACATTTTCCCCCCTCAGAAATCCCACATTTCCCCCCATAGGAATTCCATGTTTTTCCCTCAGGAATTCCATGTTTTCCCCTCAGAAATCCCACATTTCCCCTCGGGATTCCCTCACCTCACAGATCCTCTTCTGCTGCTCCAGCGTCTCCTTGGGCAGCTTCTTCCTCTCGATCTCCATGGACAATCCCACGATGTATTCCCGGCAAATGGCGATCAGCTGCTGCGCCTTTGGGGCAAATCCCGGGATCAAACCCTTCCCTGGGCATGCTTTGGGATCGGGATTCCCTCAGGATTCCCACATTTTCCCCTCAGGAATTCCCCCATTTTCTCCCTCAGAAATTCCCACATTTCCCCCTCAGAAATTCCCCCATTTTCCCCTCAGAAAATCCCCCATTTTCCCCCCAGGAATTCCCACATTTTCCCCTCAGAAATTCCTACATTTCCCCCTCAGAAATCCCATATATTCCCCTCAAGAATTCCCATGTTTTCCCCCCAGGAATTCCCACATTTTCCCCTCAGAAATCCCACATTTTCCCCTCAGGAACTCCCCCATTTTCCCCTCAGAAATCCCACATTTTCCCCTCAGGAACTCACCCATTTTCCCCCTCAGGAATCCCCCATTTTCCCCTCAGAAATCCCACATTTTCCCCTCAGGAACTCACCCATTTTCCCCCTCAGGAATCCCCCACTCAGGAACTCACCCATTTTCCCCCTCAGGAATCCCCCATTTTCCCCTCAGAAATCCCACATTTTCCCCTCAGGAATTCCCCCATTTTCCCCTCAGAAATCCCACATTTTCCCCTCAGGAATTCCCCCATTTTCCCCTCATGAATTCCCCCCTCAGGATTCCCCCCCTTACCTCAGCGATCTCCTGTTTGTTATCCACCACCAGCAGGGGGACGCTGAGCAGGATCAGCCGGAATTTCTCCACGGCCTCCTCGAACTTGCCGGCGGTGGTGAGCTGATAGCAGAGCTGCAGCCTCTGGATCAGCTCGCCCAGCTTCAGCCCCACGGCCGGCAGCGCTGCCTTCAGCCCGCCCTCCTTCCTGGGATCCGCCAGGAAAACCGGGATTTAGGGGGAGTTCTGCTCCCTGAGGCCTTTCCCATGCTTCCCAAACCTTTTTCCCCGTGGAAAAATTGGCCCAAATATCCAGGCCTGGCATGGCTTGAGGGTGTTTCCTCTCGTTCTGGCTCTGTTCTCTGGGATTAGATCCCAAATTCCCACTGGAAGAGCCTGGAATTCCCTCTGGATCCCCCTTTTCTCCCCCCAGTTCCCTCAGGTTCCACCATTCCTTTCTCCCACCGCTCCAGGACACTTCCCAGCCCCTCGTTCCATCAGGATCCAGCCCTAAACATTCCCTGGATTTTACCCCCAACCCCATCTCTGCTCCCCCACAATTCCCACCTCTCGCCACAAACCGGGAATTCCGCCTCCTCCCCATCCCTGGAGGCGCCCGAGCAATTCCTGAACCTCGCTCTGGAGGGAATCAACCTCGCCCGCCTCATTCCCAACCCCAGAAATCCGGGATTTCTCTCCAGGAAGAGCATTCCCAGCAGCCTGGGGAATCCTTGGAATCCGGGGAAGGCGCTCACCAGTTGCGGTGCGGGAATCCGTACATGGCGGGGAGGCTGGGAAGCGCCTGGAATGTCGTCCGGCCTCGGGAAAACGTCTGCAGGAAGAGCTGCTTGTAGGGGCCGAAGTTGGTCACTCCCACCTGGTCATGGAGCAGCTGACGGGATAAAAAAAATCACGGATTGAGCTGGGAAAACC